TTTCAAAAAGGCCATGCCGATTCCCACTGCCAGGAGCAGTCCAAGGATTTGATGTGGTCTGGTTTCCACCCTTTCTGATGACTGCGTGATGTTGTCTCAGCGTGGCTCTTACTTGYCTTTCCCTGGCAGCTGAAGGGGTTGCAACCACTTCACGTGCTTGTTGACCTAAAATGGCCTTGAGGGCACCCTGCAGGGAAGTGAGTAGAGGCTGGTAGGAATGAGGCAATGCAGGGCTCAGTCCCCACAGTCCTGCCCAGGGCTGTTTGGGTCCTCAGGGTTGCCTTTGTGTCAGGAACTACTTGGGCACTTGCCAAGATGCGTGTGGAATAACCACTCAAGCCAGCTAGAGAGGGTAAGGAGGAGATGAAACTGACAGAGACTGGTACCTCTCATCTGTCATGGGTTCATTTCGTGCTGACAATGACTTGGTGACTAGGTTATCAGTCCTGTACTGTGTCTTTACTGCTTTGGTAAGTAGATTGATGGTGGTAGCAGAATGACGATGTTGTCTTTGTGTTTTTAAACTAAGTCTTCATCTGCTGTGGAGGCTGGACTTGAGGGGAGCCCAGAGGCTGCTGCAGTAAAGCAGCCAGATGGGAAGTTGGACTTGGAGTGCTGGCAGGAGAGTCTGAGCCAAGTAGAGAAAAAGAAATATTCACACTTATGTTTCATTTTGAAAATCCTAATAGTTTGAAAAGGTATGGACTAATACACCAAAACACCGTATACTTACCCCAAAGTTCACCACTAGCATGCTCTGATCCTTCTCCTCTTGGCTTCAGGATCTGGAGATGACCCACAACTCCGTGAGGCTCTGACAGTTCCCTGCTTTCATTCTGCTATACCCSCATGCCGTCTTCCAATGTGCCCCCTTTGCCTGCCACCACACCTCCTTATTTTTCCACTCTTAGAACTTGGACCCAGGGTTCAACTCAGTGCCTTGAAGTGTCCCCTAAAACTTGGGAGTGAGAACCTGAATTGACAGTGCTCCGCATGGGAAGTGTCTGCAACAGGGGCTCCCTCCCTGTTAACCCTGGGRCTAGCAGGGGGCACACATCATCTCTCTCATGCCTCATGGAGCAGATGCAGTCTGCTGAGCTGTAGTGTTGCACCCATGTTCATAGCCTGCTGCTTCTGCCGTGTGCAGCCTCTGCTCTGCCCAGGGAGGTACCTGCTGCCCTTGCCCAGCTCTCCTGCTCTGCATCTCCATGCACTCTTCCCTTCCCCTTGCTTGCCACAGATGTGACTTGGTATTATTTCTTTTATATTTTTATAAACAGAGTCTTGTTAACTTGCCCAGGCTGGCCTTGAACTTGTGATTCTCCTGTTCAACCTCCAGAGTAGAGTAGTGAGGATATTGGGTGTGACCACTATGCCTGGCTCTCATCCTTTAAAAATCCCAGAGGTTTTATTTCCCTGTTATTCTTCCTGCTCCCTGTGCACTTTCCTTTCCACCTGCTCCTCCTCACCTGCCCCGCTGCAGGCTGTGAAGCATTCTCAGCARCTCTTACTTCAAGTAATAGGCTCACACACTGGTCTCCTAGTTTTGACACTAAGGATGGCTTCCTGTGGGGTGGCTGGTGAGCTAGGTTCTTACTAGCATCACCTTCAACCCAAATGTACCCCCAAATCAGGAGCCAAGAGAGTGCTGTTACCGAGAGTTTTACGTCTATATGTGGCTGTGTAAGTASAGTCCAGTAGTGAGCCGCTGCATGTCTCTGTTTTCATATGAGCTTGTGTTTTCCTAGAGCTATGATTGCCCTGTTTTTCCCAGGATTAGTTCTGTGTGCCTTTAGTGCCTTTTGCAAAGGACAGCTCATCTGCCGGATGATCTTGCAGCTCTTCCTCCCCCAGAGAGAGGCGAGTCCCTCCAGCCAGTCTCCTCCCCCTGGCCACTGCTCCCTGGCAGAGTCCATGCTGCACTGCCCATATCCTGGGACTTTCTTCACTGTTTTTTTGGAAGACCATTCCCTGATCTTCCTCTCTGTTAATTTTCTCTTATTTTGACAAATTGTGGCTTCCAGCAGTTTTCTGAGAAAGGGTTTKGTTTTGATTCTGCTTTTTGAAAACATGTTTACTCCTTCCTCAACCTTGATTGAAAATTCAGCYAGTATGGAATATATGCTGAAATTATTTTTCTTAGGCTCCTAGGAGAGGCTGATGCGCTTGGTCTCCTGTGTGATGCCATTGGGTGTTTCCCTTTTGTACGTGACATCTGTGTCCTCTGAGGTTGGTATGTAGGTGTCCTGGGCTGACAGTTCCTCAGCAGAGCTGGTGGTCATCTAAGTCAGCTGGAGACCTTGTGCTCAGCCCAGGAGGCTCTGGTATAACCCCTGGCTACTTTTCCTTCCTTTTCTTTGTTGTCTTCTAGAGCTYGTCACTTGAGTGATGGGCCCCTGAACCCCATCCTGGTTCTTTTACTTCCTGCCATCCATCTCTTGTACTCCACCCTGGAGAAGAGTGTTGTGGTTTTTATTTTTGTTGCTCCTGTTTGGATTTTAGCTGATGCTTCCTGCCATTTCCTTTCTCGCAGCAGGCTGCTCAGCCTTAGGGAACCCCATTGGTTGTTGTGGCTGAAATAGGCCCAGTAGCAGCTGGTGCTGTGCCAGCCTCCACCTCTTCTGTCTGGCAGAGGTGAGAGTAGCCCTGCCTCGCGGTCTGCTGTGAGGCTCACCGGGGTAGTGTGACACAGCTCCCTAAAACATCCACAGTGTGTGTGCTCTTGTACAGTGCCCCGTCTCCTGCATGTCTGTGATGCTGGTGCTTCTGGTCTGTGTCTGAGAGTGGAGTTACKGTGAGGTGGGCATTCGGCCAGGATCCCAAACAGATTGCAGTTTAAGGCCTTTTCTTTTGGGCTTTGCATTTCAGAGAAGTCTCAGGGTGGTGGGGATGCTGAACTCCTGGCAGCCAGCATCTGAGCAGCAGGAAATGGCAAGAGCACTGTTCCCACCTAGCAGGGTAGGGTGGAGTCGGGTGTACCCTGCAGTTCTGCACACCTCCTGCAGCTCCACACCCACTTCTCCCTGCTGTCCTCCACAGTCCTTGAAGCAGCCTCACAAGAATGCCTTCAGCTTTCTTTTGACCCCTGGATTGGGGCAGGAAAGGGACAGGAATTCACCCACAGTTGTGTTCTCCTGGAAGTGTGGGCTGGCCCACAGGGTGCTGGGGATGGCCACGGTTCTGAGGGGAGCTGAACATTTAGCAGGACTTTTGGCATCAGCCAGATGACCATCTTACAGCCATGCCCCAGAGCTTTGGGCTGCCGCAGTGGAGCAGCTCTCTGAGTAGACCTGATGCCACCCTGGGATGGCCAGGGGGTACCAGGGGTTGCTGCGGGTGGACTCCAGTAGAAAAAGGAGGCAGAATTGACCCCCACCAAAGTATGTGGTGGTTTTGGATTTTGAATTCCAGCCGGGTGCCCTGCACAGTACCACAGTTATACTTTTAGCCTGTTGCATTTGTAAAATAATATCCATCAGATCAAATTGATGACAATAATTTATATCTTTCTGGTTTTGTAATTCGTTGCCATTTAGTTTGTATGTTTATTTTGGTTTTAGACCTTGTAAAAAGAGAGTATTTCTAAGTTTAGGCCCATGCATATTTACGCAGCTTAATGAAAATCATTTCTCAGCACTGACAGCCGAGGGATTTCTCTTTTTTAAAACATTCAGTTCTTTATAATTAAATTTGAAAATCACTGACAGAACACCATTAATTATATAATATTGTACAAATGATATAGATTTAGTCTCTTTTAATCCAGTACAGAAAATTTTAGTTTTATTTAAGCAAATTAGGTTATTTAGAGTAATTTTAAGAGTGATGGGCTAGGAGTGCAGCTTGTGTAGAGTGCCTGCCTAGCATATGTGAGACCCTGGGTTCAGTTCCTAGCACTGCCTTCCCAAAAAAGAGGCAAATGCCTCTAATAAGAAGTAGCTAATCCTTTCCAGTCTAACTGAAGAKTTCTTTAAAAAAAGAAAGCAATCCCAGCAATGAAATTCAAGCCTTGAGGAGGGAACGGTGCTGATGCCATCAGGCTGGCTCTGCAGTAAATGACCCACTTTAGTGTTGGTGCCGACCTTTAAGAATGATTTCCTAGTAAGGCCACCTGGTGGGGATTCTTCAGGTAGTCTCAACCTCTGAGTCTGAGTCACAGTTATTAGTAGACGGACTATTTCCAGCAGCCATGTATAAGTGTTTGTCTTTAAGGACATGCAGCTTTTGTGCTCCTGTGCACCATGGTGTGCTTAGTAGCTGCTCTGCACGACTGTGCATTGGTGCCTGGCAGACCCTGAGACTGCAGCTCTACTGGGTCAGATTTAGGGTCCAGTGGTGGCCACAGCACATGACACAGCCGAGCCACAGGGAGGCTGATTCCCCAGGAGCCACTGTGCAGAGGCAGGGACCCATGGTGTTTTTCTTGATTAGAAGTGAACTGAGGGCCCTCCAGTGTGTGCCACGGTTCTCGCCTCCTGGGGTCTCATGTGTTGTGGTGTCAGAAACTCGGAGATCTTATTGTGGTCGTGTTGTCATTATCGAGGAGACTGGGGCTTTATTTAGTGAAATGGAACTTATTCTGTCTACAATGCTATCTTGTGCACAAGCCAACAAAATGGACTGCGTATGATGTTAAAACACTCCTATTGCTGCTGTGTGAGAATCCAGTTTACGTTAAAAAGTCAACATTGGGCATGTATTGTAAAGTTAGGCAGCATTCTTCTAGGACCAATCAGAGTTTTTCTCTTATTTTGTTTTCCTTTTAGAAAGTAATGTTCTAAATTTCTGCCCTATCTCCTTAAGTCAAGATAACCCAGTCTAGACAAATTCTGGTGTACCAGAGGACCAGGCATCGTCGGGCCACTTGGTATTTAAAACTTTGCCATGACATTTTTGTTTCATCTGGGGAGAAAGTTTTACACATGTTTACCTTTCTTTTTTATTTCCTGTGACACCTCCCAAAAAGACAATCTGTAATTTCTCCTGTATTTTATTGACAGCTGACATCATTTCAACTGTTGAATTTAATTACTCTGGAGATCTTCTTGCAACAGGAGACAAGGGCGGCAGAGTTGTTATTTTTCAGCGGGAACAAGAGGTCAGTAATATACAACCCTCAAACCAAATAAAATAATTCACACCTTCTTATCACTTACAAGAAAAGAAACACAGGCTGGGGTTGTGGCCTAACATGTGTGAGGCACTAGATTTGATCCTCAACACCACATAAAGTTAATTAAATAAAATAAAGTCATTATGTCCATCTACAACTAAAGAAAAATATTTAAGCAAACGAACAAACTTTCCCTCTGCTGCTTTTTAAAAACAGAAAAAGAAAGGAAGCAATCATTTTCTCAGTATCCAGTTCCTTTACCCTCAGTTCCCTCACATTGGCTGGTGCACACACACCTTGCCTAGGGACCAGCGGAGAGATCTGCCTCCCACGGCAAGCTCCCGAGTCCCTGCTGCCTTCAGCTGGAGTAGGGAGAATCCAAAGCAAGGACCAGAGGAGGGAGGTAGAGGGCCATGGTGTTTGGAACATGTGACTTCCTGCCGTCCTCGGGGTGCTGACCAGCTCCCACAGCACTTGCTACGGAGGACCCGGTGGAGTGTAGATCCTCTCGGTAGAGGTGAAGGGCACTCCCTGAAGCCCCTGGAGGCCTCCCTGGCCTTCAGGGAGGAGCGCACAGGTGGACCCACTCTCAAGAGCTGGTTTCTGGGTCACTTCTGTGAGGAATACTTCTTCACACATGAGAGCATGGGAAATAGGCCCAGGCCCTGCCTGCCACCCATCCTGCCCCCACCCTGGCATTTCCGGTGGCCTCAGTAGGGTTCTTGTGACCAGCAAGGCAGCAGGGCTGTTGTGTGCTGCACAGCCACCATGTGCCAGGCTGCATGCTGTCTGTAAGTGTAGGTCTTGTGTTTTCCCAGCAGGTTATGAGATAATCCTTTACCTTCCTGTCATCTCCCCAGGGAGCAAAGCTTTTTTTGGAATTTGACATAAAAATCAGACATCTTGTTCTAAAATGGATTGCATTTTAAGCTCTTGGCTGAGGTATGTTGAGTCACCCAGGAGCGTCTCTACAGATGTTGCCCTGTGGTGCCCTGGTCCAGTACAGCTGGGTAAACCCTGGCAACTTGTTTTCCTCTGTCTTCATGCTGTGGATTCCGGAGGAAGGGCTGTTTGCTCTCTCCCTGGCTCTGGTAGGGCAGGGGTGGATTACACGCCCATCCCTGGCAGACCTGCCATCCTGGTGTTATAGCACTGAGCTGAGAAGCTGGAGCGGCCAGTAGCTAAGCCGCCACCCCTCAGCTCAGAGGTGTCCAGATGTACGTCCTGGTTTAGAGCWGGAATCAGGCTCCTCGCTAGGGACCTGTTGAGACACTCTGGCCTCCAGGAAGGTGGACGGTAAGGGAGCAATCTGGCAGTGCGAAAAGGACRAGCCCTCCTATAGGTTGTCTCTTAGGGAGCCCCCATGTGGGAGGAAGGCGGCTCTGTTTAATGGTGTGTGTCTGCAGTCGGCCCAGCATGCAGCTCCACCCTGCAGAAGCAGATCTGCGCACTGCATGCAGTTAAGTCAGAACCCTGCTCTCCACCCAGCACCCCTTCCTGTTTGCCCCAGCCCCCTGAAGACTTCCCTCAGAACCCTTCTCCCTGGGTAAGGGAGGAGGTCTCTATAGGGCCTTGGGAACTGCTGGGCCATCTTGGGCTTTGGCAGTTTGTGAGGGTCGAGGGGGGTCGTGGTGGGGGCACAATGCTGTTCTGGGTCCTGGTCGGAGTGGCTCAGGCAGCAGACACTGCTGATTTTTCTTGGCATGGGACTGACTTGTTGGTGCAGATCTTTATTTTGAAATAATAGTTTTGCTGTTTTCCTTTGTAAGTCGGAACCATCTGTTGGTAGACTGTGCTTTCTTCTAGAGGAGTGAGGCCTGGCCAGGAGGGAGAGCTGAGTGGATTAGCCTAACACAACACACTGGGGAAAGCCACCTGGTGAGGGGCTCCAGCTCCTGTCAGCGAGCCCTGGATTCAGGGCTGTGCAGGACGTGGCGCTCAGCAAGGGACAGGTTCAGGTGGTTTGGGGGATGCCTTCTTATAATATTTGATCATAATTCAGAAATATAAAGAAGTGCCCATCTTGACATAAAGATTTGTTGAGTTCCCGTTCCTTGGGATACAGACTAAAGTGCCAAAATGTAGAATTTTTAGGTATGGATTATAGAGCAAGAATTAAACAAAAGACAGGGTATAGCTCAGAGGCTTGCCTGACATGTGAGGTCCTGGGTTCTGTCCCCAGTACTGGAAAAGGGGGAAAGTACAGGAAACACTCAGGCTGCAAATGACACTTCATGGTACCCATCTCCCTGAATGCCCCTGCCCTCCCACAGTTACCAGGTCTTGGAAGGTGGCATGTGTCTTCTCAAGCACGTTTTCTCTCTACTGTGACCTGTAGAACTGCTCTGTGTGTTTCAGTTCTCGTAAGCAGCACCTCACCGGGGACATCTTTGTGTAGAGCCTGTCCGAGGGTCTCTGTGCTTTCCTGCTGTGTGGTTTGCCTGGATGGCTCTGCTGCTGCCACAGTGCGTGTGCTGTGTCTGAGTTACTGCCACAGAGCTGGCGTAGCCCCTGGCTCTGTTGGGCTCCTCTCCCACTGACTCGGGCCACTAGCACTGATCCTCTGCGGGCCTAGATGTCCACCTGGCAGGACAGAGGCAGGCGGGCAGCAGCTCACACTTAGGTATCCATCTAGGCGGGGTCTGCCAAATGGAGCCTGCTGCATATGCAGCCTGAACATGGAATAGAAGGGCTGGGAAATGCCTGTTTCTTTTCTCTGAGTACATTAATTCTGAATTTAATCTGTGTGAAATTTTTTTGACCCAGGATTGCCCCTTCTGCTCCATACTGAGGCTAGAACCCAGGGGCACTCTCCCACTAGGCTGCATCCCCAGCCCTTTTTAAAATTTTGAGATAGGGACTTGCAAAGTTGCCAAAGCTGGCTTTGAACACATGATCCTGCAGCTGCAGGCGCCCGAGTTGCTGGGATTATAGGCATATGCTGTTGTACCCAGTAACCCAGGGTTTTTGTTTTTGTTTTTGTTTTAACTTTTAAAAATGTTGCTGGGCACAGTAGCCATGCCTGTAATCCCAGCAGCTTGTGAGGCTGAGGCAGGAGGATTACAGGTTCAAAGCCTGCCAAGCCAGCTTCAGCCACTTAGTGAGACCCTGTCTCAAAAAATAAGAAGGATTGGGGATGTGGTTCAGTGGTTAAGCAGCCCTGGGATTCAGTACCCAGTACCGTGGTGTTCACATTTGTATTGCCATGTTCTCGCCTGACTGGGCTTCACTCAGTAAAGTAGCTGTCATGTTTTCTTGCAGAATAAAATCCGCCCTCATTCCAGGGGAGAGTATAATGTTTACAGTACCTTTCAAAGTCATGAACCAGAGTTCGACTATTTGAAAAGTCTAGAAATTGAGGAAAAGATTAATAAAATTAGGTGGCTGCCACAGCAGAATGCTGCTCATTTTCTACTGTCTACAAATGGTAAGAGTTTTTTATTTGAGTGACTATTTGATTTAGAATTTTGTTTTTAACCTTCTGTATATGTGGATTTCTTTTTTTCTAGAAATTGTTTCTGGCTTAAACTTTTGGAAGAGTAAATTATCAGCCACAGTGGCAAGTGATAAGTTAAAGATTCAAAATGTGCCCCCCAACAACCAATACTGCGTCCACCACTCTGCACATGTGTCTGCATTTTTATTTTACCAAGAAAAACGTTCATCTATAATTGGAAATGTTCATATTTAAAGACCCCCCCAGCCTAGATACCAACAGAACCTCAGTTTTTAGTATGATACCTGAGTYATAGTGGTGCATGTTATGGTTTTTCTTTTAACATGAAGAATGAGGTTTTTATTTGCAGATAAAACTATTAAATTATGGAAAATAAGTGAACGGGATAAAAGAGCAGAAGGTTATAACTTGAAAGATGAAGATGGACGACTCCGAGACCCATTTAGAATCACAGCACTGCGGGTAGGTGCGCCCTCCGTTTTCTCTAAACTTCCCAGCCTCGTTACCTCAGCTGTCTGGCGAGTGCCGTGGATGACACTGCCTTCTTGACCCAGGAGCTGCTCCTCGCGGAGCAGTCRCCTTCGTGTGTGTGTTCAAGGGGGGACTCTGCAGGTTTCCACCCAGGCAGAAGGACATGCTGCTCAGAGGTACAGCTGAGGCACCAGGGAGAGTTCACACCCAGCCCCGTGGCAGAGCGCTTCCCTGGGGGCAGCTCGGGCTGCAGCCTGGAAGTCGACTGTGGGCAGAGGGTGCTCTGTGGGGGTGTTCCTGGAGTTCCTGCTCAGGAGCCGAGGCACACTCTGCTGTTGCCGACTTTTTTGCATCAGGGTGTCCGTGAGCATCATTACTTCTAATCGTTAGATTCTCCCCGTACGTTTTGGTGCCCCCATGTGTAGTATGGAGTGACCATAATTCATCAGTTCCTGTACTAGACTTTTTTCATGTTTTGACATCTGTATAGTTGCATAAACCTTAGAAATCTCAGTGTCTTGCATTGTTCTGGCTGAAGGGTGACTTAAGACACAGGGCTTAAGCTGACTGGACTTGGGCCCAGATAAGACAGGGAAARTGCTGCCGGGGATGGAGCCCAGCCTCGGTCCCAGGGGCTGCGGCTATTATTTAGAAAACCGTTGGCTGCTGATTTCTCAATGAGGTTTAAGCCCTGGTTATATATACTCTTGCGCGTCAAAGAAATACTAGTTAGTGAGCACATTCCAAATCAATGGTCAAGGGAGATCCCAGAAAGGGTGCTGTCCACAGATCCCCACCCCAACACACTCCAAGCCCCACGGGCATGCTTGCAGCCCAGAGTGGGCGTGGCCTGTTCTGGTGCCATTCTTGAACTGCACCAGGAGGGTGGTGACAGAGCAGCAAAGCCATCTCCACCTGCAGTAGACAGTAGGTGCAGCTGGGATGAGAGCATAAGCACAGTCCTCGATGATAAGCACAGTCCTCGAACTCCCTGCCTGTGATGCTACTCCCTCATTTCCAGGGTCTTTGTTGAGGCTGGGGAAGGCGGTGTCATTTGCTCAGATCAGTTTATGGGAACTCAGATGTTCTGTTGAAAACGCCGGCGGTTTCTGATATGCCATGCTGCTGCAGGTGTATCCACCAAGCTACAGGAGTCATGTGGTGGAGGTCTCACTAGTGTTGAGGACCCATCACAGCCATCGTCAGTGCGCTCAGTCTTGTGAAGTAGGAGTTTGGGTGACACGGGTCATCCTAAGTCCTGTGCCGTCTGTCCCTCTCCCACCAGCTGTGTGTACAGCCCTCTCAGGAATCCATGTTGCTCCCAGTCAGACTCTGCACCACCCCAGAAGCTCACCTGCTTGTTTTGGAGAAACTGCAGGTCCTCTGTGGCCCCTTTAATACCATCGTCCTAAATAAAACCATACATAAGGGGCCACAGGAAACTGATGAGCACAGTTGGCCACCATGTGAGGGTGCAGGGTCAGGGCCAGGGGGCTGTGTTTGTGAACCGAGGTCTGTATTAGACTCACAGAGGACTGTTGCCTTGACTGAGCCTACCTGGGCAGGAACCCGAATGTCACTGTTTTAATTTTTTTCTTTGAGTGCCAGAAAAGGGATTTGATTACAAGAAGGACTTGGCATTATTAGTTGCCCTGTGTTCTGATCAGAGACTTGTCAGCGGGTCCTGGCACTGTGCTTTATTCCTGTGCATGGTAGAGCCGACACTCCTGTTCCTGGGAAATGAACCCAGGGCACTCCACCACTGAGCCACATCCCCAGACCTTTTTATTTTTTATTTTGAGACAGAGTCTCACTAAGTTGCCTTGGGCCTAAGTTGCTGAGGCTGATCTCAAATTTGTGATCCTCCTGCCTGAGCCTCCTAAGTAACTGGAATCATAAGTGTGCATTAGCACCCAGCTCCCCAGCTTATTTTTACAGAATTTGGGGAAGACTCAGATGAGAGATTTCTTCCTGCCTTCAAGGCTCCCTTTTGGTTACCAAAAAGACAGACAGCACTATTCCTCGACTTTCCTTTGGCTTGGTGAGGGTCAGGCCTGCATTCTTGCCTCTGTTCTTGGCGCAGTGTGCTCTGGCCAGGCACCACCCTCCTCCTCCTCGTTTCCTTGGCACAGCAGCCTATTTTTTGGAGCCCCTCAGGCACAACACTCAGCACAGGTATGGGGAGGGTGCCTTTCTTCTTAACCTTCAAGTGAAGGGAGTGTACGTGCCCAGAAACGCAGCTACTGTGGAAGTGACTAGCCCTGGGGTGCTCAGACTGGACATGCCACATGCTAGCCCCGGATCTAGAAGGGGAGCAGCCTCAGCTCCTCTGAGGGGCCCACACGTGAGCACTGAGTGCAGCGGGAGAGGCTGTGCTCCAGCTGCAGGCGCTGGCACCGCAAGGATCTCCTTGCCTTCCAGGGTGGGCCACAGGGACACAGGTGCCTGTGGCTGCAGTCCTGCTCGCTGGTCAGTTGGGGGTGTGGCTGGCCCTACCTTAGATCTGTCCCATACCTGCTTTACTCTTACGCTACCATGACCCTTGTTTTGAATTCCTATTTCCTTCCATTTTTTAGGTTCCAATATTGAAGCCCATGGACCTCATGGTAGAAGCAAGCCCACGACGAATTTTTGCAAATGCTCATACGTATCATATAAATTCCATTTCAGTAAATAGTGATCATGAAACATATCTTTCTGCAGATGACCTGAGAATTAACCTGTGGCATTTAGAAATCACAGATAGAAGTTTTAGTATCCTTCACTAGGCGGTGGTCTCTGCGTTTCCCTAGGGGTGGTTCAGTCGTTTTCAGTTGCACTTGTCTTCTTGTAGCTCAGCATTGATCTTTGAAGACAGTTTCCTCCCTGATAGCCTGTGAAGAAGTTCTCAGAAATATAAACTTCCCCCTGTCTTGGGGAAGTGCTTTGTAGGGGATTGRCCTGAAGCCCATGGCCCACCTGATTCAGCCAGAGGCAATTTTAAACAGAGTGTATTTGAAAAATCARTGTTGTGGTTTTTCTTTTAAATTTACAAATGGTAATAGAGTAGAAAATAAAACTCTGATTAGAATTCTCACATTCAGCCCCAGGTGAGAATTTTGAGCCCTTAGTGGCGTGACAACTCTCCTGCCTTGGCCTCCTGGTATGGCCATCCCCTATGTGTACCTCATGCCTCCTGCCCTCTGAAGAACTGCCCAGTGCCTGCCTGTGACTGGCAGGAGCTCAGGGCACTGTTTGCTGGTCACTGTCGGGGGCTGCCCTGCGTTGCCCCACCATCACATGAGTCTCCCTGCGAGGTCGCTGGGGTCCTTGCTCCCCAGTTTGCCCTGGGAATCGCAGCTGCAGCTCTCCCAAATTCCCAGCTCTGTGTCCTAGCTCCGCCTAGATCCTCTCCTTTGTTGCTACCAGCACAACTGTGGGTTGGTTGTGCCTCCAACCTCTCTGGATGTGCCTTTCCCTCTCTGGCATCCCGTGATTCAAGCTGTGGACTCAAGTTTGTGTGTGTGTTCTTAGTTGTCTCAGCTGGAAGGTGAATCTGGCCCTCCCCATTCCAGACTGGCACAGGGTATTCTGCCTACCCTGGGGTTTTTTGTTTTTATATATATATTTTTTGTTGTTTTGTTTATATATATATATATATTTTTTTTTTTTTTTTAAGAAAGTTGTCTTCTCTTTTTTTTTGAGAGAGAGAGAGAGAGAGAATTTTAATATTTATTTTTTAGTTTTTGGCGGACACAGCACTTTGTATGTGGTGCTGAGGATCGAACCCGGGCCGCACGCATGCCAGGCGAGCGCGCTAGTGCTTGAGCCACATCCCCAGCCCAGTTTTAATATTTTTTTAGTTGTCAATTGATCTTTATTTACTTATATGCAGTGCTGAGAGTAGAACCCTGTGCCTCACACATGCTAGACAAGCACTCTACCACTCAGCCCCAGCCCCAGCCCTAGCCCTGTTTTTTTGATGAACCGATTTCTGCATGTGACAGCCACCTCTGTTGGCATTGTTCTGACAATTCCACAAGTGCTTACTTGGCTCCAGGTAATCGGCAAGGGAACCTTAGACCTGGTGGAGTTGTGTTCTATCGTGGGGACAGAGTGTGGGGCTCTGCAGAGGAGCCCTCCAACGCAGGCGCCCATGGTGGAGGCTGGTAGGGTGGCAGTACAGCAGCAGGACGAAAGCAGAGCTTGTCTCCACACCCACCCGTGGCCAGGTGCCCGTGGCAGGACTGCCACGGCCATTTGAAGCTGCTTTCTGGTGTGCCTCGGGAATGTGATGTGTGCAGTCAGCCTCCTGGGCCTCTGCCCCGCCGCCCTGGGGCCCCCCTGTGTGTCCGCAGCACACCCATCAGCAGCACGCGCCTTAACACCTCCCTCCAGACATCGTGGACATCAAACCTGCCAACATGGAGGAGCTGACGGAGGTGATCACCGCCGCCGAGTTCCACCCACACCAGTGCAACGTGTTCGTGTACAGCAGCAGCAAAGGGACCATCCGGCTGTGTGACATGCGCTCCTCCGCCCTGTGCGACCGGCACTCTAAGTGTAAGTGCCTTGTTTTAGTCCTCCTTCCAGCTGGGCCTCACCCAGGCCTGGTCCTGTTCCCACAAGCGGCCATCCTGGGCTGGCGTCATGAGGCCAGTGGTTCAGTGCCAGCACTTACCCTCCCTGAGCCTCAGTGCCTCAGCTGAGCTCATCCCCGACCGGGTCCACCGAGCCACTGTGGCCTCCCCSCTAACGCATGAAGCCTGGACTGAGGCTCCCAAAGGCACTGGGCCTGATCACTTGCATTCTGCTCCCCCTGAAGCCAGTTCCCCRAGGGCACTGTCTGCAAGTACTGAGCCTTGAGGTCTCTTCTGGGGAGGAAAGCTTTGCGTTTGTTTCATCTTTAGCCAGGAAGAACAGGCCTGTTGGGTGTGGTGGGACAGGCCTGTAGTCTCAGGGTCACCGTCAGCTGAGGTGGGAGGGTTGCATGAGACTTCCAGGGCCTGTGCCATTGCATTCTGGGATAGGGAGACCTTGCTGCCCTTCCTGGCCCCTGCCCACAGGGCTCTGCGGGTTTCTGCGTCCTGTGACGCTTTCCCTGACAGTGAAGTCCCTGACCTGCCCTTCAGTGGGTGTCCCTGCTGGCACAGCACCAGCCAGCCCAGGGCACTCCCTGGCTCCTCCCCAGCTGCCGTCTGCTGCCTGCGCTCTCCTGTGGTCAGAGCACCGTGCTCCTGTTACACTGCCTGCCATGAAGAAATGTTCTCAGTGTTCAGCAGGTGGCTCGCCTGTGAGCAGAGTGACTTAGTGGTGGCAGAGCTGGTTGCTGGCACAAGCTGGCCTCAGGTTAACTTCATGCAGAGAAACAAACGTCACAGGTTCCTATGTGGAAAGAAGCAAGGGGAAGCCAAAGCAGATGATGGCAGCACACCTCCCTGGCCTGATCCTGCTGAGCCATGCGCTAGGGCATCTGGTGGCCCAGAGGCTCAGGGGCACCTCCTCCTGACCTGCCAGGTGAAGGAGCTCTGTCCAGGTTCTGTAATAGAGAAAGCARGTTCTGAGAAGGCACAAGGACCTCTCACAGTTAGAACGTGATTTCAGCATGGAAGACAAGACTCCTTCTGCTGACTGACTTTGGCCAGCAGAACCATTGTAACAGTTAAAATCTGGACCAGCWGCCAGGGGTGGAAGGACACACCTGTAATCCCAACCACTTGGGAACCCRAGGGAGGAGAATGGCAAGTTCAAGGCCAGCCTCAGCAACTTAGCAAGATCCCATCTCAATGAAAAGRGCTACAGTGTGGCTCAGTGGTAGAGCACCCCAGGGTTCAGTCCCCAGTACAGAACAACACCACACCTGGACCATGGTGGTGGTCGAAGTGGTGGTCAGTCTAGCAGAGCAACCAGGTGTTGACCCTACAGAGAGCAGGCTCACTCTAAGAGGTCCCAAGCACCACACCTGTGCAAAGCATGTATCTTCTAATTATGGACATGGACAGGAATGATCGTGGCAGGCGCTGGCCAGTGTCATGAGGATACAGGCTTCCCTGTGGTGACCRTCTCGGGCTGGGGCCATGCCTGTGAGATTCTGGCTCGGCATTGACTTGCAATCTGAGTGTGCTTCCAAGCAGCTGTCCTGGCTGGCACTGGGGCAGTGTCCTAGAGGATGCAGTTTCGAGGCTGAACCCTGCGGAGTCTCACTGGGGGGACTGAGACCTGCTAAACCGTAAAACAACTTGTTTTCTGATTTGAAACAGAAGCTGAAAATATTTTATTTTGTTTTTCAGTTTTTGAAGAGCCTGAAGATCCCAGTAGTAGGTCCTTCTTCTCAGAAATAATCTCATCCATCTCCGATGTCAAATTCAGCCATAGTGGTCGGTACATGATGACCCGAGACTACCTGTCGGTGAAGGTGTGGGACCTCAACATGGAGAGCAGGCCAGTGGAGACCCACCAGGTGCATGAGTACCTGCGGAGCAAGCTCTGCTCCCTCTACGAGAACGACTGCATCTTCGACAAGTTCGAGTGCTGCTGGAACGGTTCCGACAGGTGAGCCCGCGGGGCAGGAGCCGCCATCCTGGAGTCTCAGCAGGCCCTTGGGAGGGGTGCTTCGGCACAGAGCTGCAGAGCAGCAYGCAGGGGCGTGTGTGCACGGGGCCTGGGGGCAGGGTCTGGAGGGGAGGGCACTGAGAAGTTGCTCCCCACGCTCACAGCACAGCACCAGGTGCTTTGGTGTCAGTTCCTGCTGTTCGTCATTACGTGTGGGTGGTCCCCCCCCCCCCAGTGAGCAAACAGGAAGGAAGTAGGGATCTGCTCGGCCTTCGGGTGGCCACCCTGAGCTTTGGGACATTGCCTTCTGGGTTCAGCTCGCTTTTGGTTTCCTGTGTCCAGCCTCATGCCTCATGTCCAGCCGCCACATAGGCAGCCTGCTCTCGGTCTGCACAGACTGACATGCCAGCCTAGAGCATGCGCAGAGAGGCCAAAGAGATTATTTTTCAGGTCACAGGAAGCAGTGTGATCTTTGTGCTGCGTAAGTTCCCGGAGTGATGTGGGGCCAGGCAGAGGCCGTGTAGGCCATGGGGTTGTGTAACAGCCAAGACACGCTGGGCTTGGAAGAGCCTCTGCTTGTGAGGAACGCAGTGGACAAGCCTGTACTTAACCCGGCTCCTGAGGGTAGGGGAAGCCAGTGCGCTCACACCTTTGGTGCTCCTGCTGGGCCCTAGGACTCCCCAGACTAAAATCACCTGTGCGACTCTTGAAGAAAATTACCACCCATACTTAGAAAAACTCCACCATGGGCAGCCACAACAGCAGCAGAACTCCTGAGAATTGAGGTGTTGAAGTCGTGCATTACGGAATATAAAATAAGGATGCTTGAAACAGTTCTGTGTTAAAGGAAAGAACCAAACACCTGAAAAAGAACCACAGACTATTAAAAATGACCTACGAAACCTGAAAGCAAATCAGACAGAAATTCTTAAAACGCAAGATACGGCAGGAGAGAACCCACTGTGGGTTTAGCAGCAGATCCAGTTCAGAGAGAGTTGGAATCATGATGGAAGGGTGAGCCACAGAAGCAGAAAGCCTGAGAGGGTTAAGTGTGGAGGAGAGGGTAGGGTGTGGCCTAGGTCCATGTGCAGAGGAGCATTTTAAAGTAGCATAGCCAGCAGTGCATTCAGCTTAGGGAAGACAACATCGATTTCAGAGGCACCAGGATCTGCAGCAGACACTATAAAGGCACCATGTGYACATCATAGTGTAGAGCAGGTCTCAAGAGGAACCTGGGAAGGACACACATCCCACACGGACTGGCCCTTGAGGCTGAGAGCAGACTCCTGCAGCCACTGTGGAGGTCTGTCTTAGTCCTGTGTGTGTTGTCATAACAGGATACTGGAAGCTGGGCATTTTTGACAGAGAGGCTTGCTTATCCTTCTGTCTAGCTCACAGGTTGAAGGCTGAAAGGTAAGATAAGTGACTCCATCTTTTTAGCTTCTGGTGATGGCTTCATGGTGGATGGCATCACTTGGTGAGAGTACATGAGTCAAAGAGCAGGAGAGGCAGCCACAGGAGCCAGACTCCCTTCACAACAGCCTCTTCTCCTGGTAGCTAGCCCAGTGTCTTAAGAAAACCTCAGTCCTTGGGGCTGGGGATGTGGCTCAAGCGGTAGCGCGCTCGCCTGGCATGCGTGCGGCCCGGGTTCGATCCTCAGCACCACATACCAACAAAGATGTTGTGTCCGCCGAGAACTAAAAAATAAACATTAAAAAAAAAACCTAAAAAAAAAACCATAAAAAAAAAAAAAAAAGAAAACCTCAGTCCCTTTAAGAAGGCAGGCCTCTCGAGGCCCCTCACCTCAGTTTCTGTGCACAGGGTTGAGCCTCACCTGAGTCTGGCTGGGACAGCCACAGGGGGCCTGCAGGTGTAGTGGTGTCTGCTGTAAGCGCCCAGCTGCCTGAGTGTGCCGGAGAGCACCTTCACCTGCCTAGGGTCATGCACTCAGGCAAGTGGCCCTGTGAGAGAGCCTGTGGGGTGAAGGCATCTTCAGGGGGAGGCAGAACCAACCGTAACAGGAAACCAAAGAGAGAGCAAGACCCCGATGAGCTCGCTGCAGGCTGTTTCCAGCAGGGGGGACCCTGGAAAGAGGCTCTGGGGTCCAGGCAGACCAGCAGAGCAGCAGCAAAGCCATGAGTGAGTGAGTGAGTGAGTGTCTCAGGGCCACACAGGTCTGTTGACCTGTGCCAGCTGGCTGGCTGTGCTGCAGGGACAGAGACCAGCCCTCCCCACAGCGTGGAGTGAACAAGCGCTGAGAGTTCAGGGCTCAGAAGCAGATGTAACTAACAGAGAAGAGTCCAGAATAAGGGCAGAGTCACAAATCAGGCAGAAGCCAGCCAAGAGCAACACTGCAGCAGTGGCCTAGGCACGGAACTGGGGACGAGGAAAAGCGGACCTGGACGTTGGGATTTGGAAGAAGATGAAACACAACTTGGTGATTATAGTGAGCTCCAGGCCACCCCTGGGGCTGGCCAGCCAAGAAGAGGGGAGCCACCACCACCTCCAAGAAACAACCTTGAGGCCCCAGCCCCACCTGCACCCCACAGGCAGCACTGCCAGGAAGAGGGCCCTGTGCCCTGAGCAGGTGGTGAAAAGAGCCATAGCAGGCAGGGCTCGACTCCCAGGTCACCAAGAAAGGGGTGTGCTCAGCTGCCCCTGTCCCCTCCCCGGGTCCTGTCTCTTTACCAGAACAATAAATCTGGCTTTGTTCTTAAAAAAAAAAAAAAAAAAAAAATTCAAGTCACTGAGACCCCCTCATAGCACAGCTGTGGGAATTCACAGGGCTCATCCTCATCCACAGCCAGAGGTGGAGGCCTGACCCTGCCCTGCCTGGCGTGGGATTCTGGTGACAGGGGGACTGGGAGCCAGAACCCCTAGCCCAGGTATTGAGATGGGGGTCCCACCAGCTGTTCRTTCTGCAGCGTAGTGCTGAACAGCTGAGAGGTGGGGAACTGCATGCGTCACAAGTGGCTTCACGAGGAAGCCAACAGGACACAACATGCCAGCCACACAGACGGCTCCTTTGGGTGTACTCGTGCTTGTGCCAGGGTGCAGTTAGTCTACTAWGCACTCACTTAGCAAATGTCAGACCCTGGGTTTGACCTTGAGCACCCCCAAAACGGATCTATGACGGGAAGTGCACAGCTGCTCTGGTGAAGGACTGCCCACTGCCCCACTCTACGGAGCTGAGCCCAGGGCTGGCCTGGCTCTCTGGAGGGGTGCACGATGGGATTCGCCTTCTTRGTGATGGATATGTGGATACTGGCCGCACTGTTCCTGATACCTTGTAGTTTATTTGAAATATTACAAAATACATTTCAGTAAAACATCCCCACGAGTATCCAAGACCTCTCCTGGTGATACGTGCTGCATCCATTTACTCCTGAGGACCCTCCCATCGTCTGGTCTGGTAGCACTATAGGGGCAAGATGGTGCAAGGCCAGGCTGAGGGCTGCTGTTGCCTGGCCCCTTGCCACACCAGGTGGTCATGGCCTCTTGCTCATGTGTCCACGTAGGTCTGCACTGGGCTGTTCCCTGCTTGGGGGGTGGCACTTCAGGGCAGGGGCCTAACAGTTCTCTGGCAATTGATTGCCGGGTGGGCTAGGGGATGCCCGCCTCTGATGCGGGCATTGGCTATCAGGAATTTATAGGTATGCACTGCGCTTCAGATCTTAGCACCRGGTTCCTTGCAGGAGGTTATTTGAAGAACCCCCAGTGAGAGTCGCCCTCCTGTGCAGTCCTGGGTCATGTGTGGTCATCTTGARACTAGGGCTCTGGCACTCGCTGGACTGGGCTCGAACACAGTTGCCTCTCCAGCCCCTCTGGTACCAGAACTCTGGCGATGAGCTGCAGGTCCCGCATGCACAGCACAGCTGTGTGTAGCTCTTCTTCTGAGTTCATCTTTTTTTCTGGTGAACCGGCGTAGACAAGGTACATGGGACATTGAAGTATTTGCACATAGCGGGGGAAAGCCCCATGCCCTGTACGGAGGCCGCCCCGTTGAAGGTGGGCACCTAGATATGGCACCTCCCCTGAGCACCAGGYGGGGTGAGCGTGTTGAGGTGGGAGCAGAGACTGGCCTGGCCTGGCCTGGCCAGRCCAGGAAGGTGGGTGAGTGCCATGGACCTCACCTCCACACCAGGAAGTCCACTCACTTCGAAGCCCTGGGTCAGCTCGGGCAGCATTGGATGTGAGTGTGGAGGTGAGCCTTAGGCAGCCATCTCTTCCACTTTTGTAGAAAAAGCTGAAGTTTTGCAGTGTGGTCAGGCCACGTTGTGAGGATGTGTAGGTGCTTTAGTGGGTTCCTGGTCTCAGTTGAAAGTTATGATTGACGCTGAGATAAAAGCAGGAAAGGTATAGCAAATTCTGGATTTATGCAAAATGGGATTCTCTGCTTCTGCCACATTTTGTATTCGAGAGTTTCACTGTATGATATATATTGCTTCATGTAAAAGAAACTTTTTTGAAGATAAATTTAAAACTTGTTTGAGCTGGATCCAGTTGTGCACACCTGTAATTCAGGCAACTGGTGAGGGCGAGGCAAGAGGATTGCAAGTTTGAGGCCGGCCTGCACAACTTGGTAAGCACCTTAGTGAGACCCTGTCTCAAAATCAGAAGGGTTGTGAATGTGGCTCAGTGGTTAAGCTCTCCTGGGCTGAGTGTCCAATACCAAAAAAAAAAAAAAAACAGATCAAATGCCAGTGAAGACGCATTGGCAGAGGTGGCCATGCATGCCGAGCATGAGTGTGTGGAGGTGAGCTTTGGCGGGCAGTGGCAGTGCAGAAGCCKGAGCTGGGAGAGGAGCCCCACCTGTCAGGACAGAGACGAGCAGGTGGGCTTTCCTATGCTACTTAAGAGGTCACATGGAAGCTTCAGGGAGACGCTGCCTCTCCTTTCTGACCCCAGCATCTCAGTCCTGGTTTCTGAAGGTGCCCAGGTGCTGCGGAGGGAGGGGTGGGGAGCACAGGCAGTGTGCAGCCGCCCAGCACTCAGTGCTCCTCTCTTGTCTCGAGCAGTGCTGTCATGACGGGCTCCTACAACAACTTCTTCAGGATGTTCGACAGAAGCACGCGCAGGGATGTCACCCTGGAAGCCTCGAGAGAGAGCAGCAAACCCCGAGCCAGCTTAAAGCCCCGGAAGGTTTGTGCAGGTGGGAAGAGGAAGAAGGACGAGATCAGTGTGGACAGCCTGGACTTCAATAAGAAGATCCTCCACACAGCCTGGCACCCCGTGGACAACATCATCGCCGTGGCYGCCACCAACAACCTGTACATATTCCAGGACAAAGCCAACTGAGGGAGCCGGCGAGGCCCGTACCGCAGCCCAGACAGCGTCAAGGAGCTCTGCGTTCAGAGCCTCATGCCCTCCCACAGAGCAAGAGCTGGCCTCGGTGCATCCTGGCCTGGCCCTGCCTTCAGCCCGGGAGAGAAGGGTGCTGCTGCTCCAGAGCGGAGCCCACTGGGAGCAGAACTGCTGGACATTGCTCAATAAAGGCCATTACTCAAATAAATATATTTATTTAAGTCTGAGCTTCCTTTCCAGTTTATAGACCAAATACCTAACACCCAGGAGAAGAGGTGTCGTCAGGCCCTCTCCCCATCCCACCCTCCGCTCTTCCCTCTCCGTTCTGTCCCTGGTCCTGTGCCTAGACGTGGGGCGGCCCAAGCCCGGGCAGGTGTTCCCACTCACTGCATCTGCCATCACACCTCCGGGAGTGGCTACTCAGTGCAAGCAGCACAGTACAGAGTGCTTTTGAAAACAAACAGAAGTTGTTGTCTTGTATTTGCTTGAGGTCTATGTGATGAAATCATGCAGGGTCATTCTTGGGAACAATCTCAGAAACACTGGTTCTCTTTGGCAGAATGGTGGCATGTGTGCAGTTCTTAGTTCTAACCCAGCTCCCCCACACTGTCACGCTGCCCTGTTTCTGTAGAAGTAGTCCATCTCCCCCCCAGGCCGGGCTGGGCGGGGAGACCACAGGAAGAGACACTGCTGCCCTAAAACCACCCGGCTCCCAGCAGGCCTGAGTCACTACAACTGAAAACATGCTTTCTTAAAAGTCTTTTTTAAAAGTACTTTGGGGAAAATATACTTTTTAAATATTGCTACAGTTACATGCATGCTTTCACACTGCATTTCAAGCCAGCAGAATTAAACCACTTTAACTGCTTGTGATGCCACCAGTACCTTGGTGGTTCATTTCAAAAGATCTTTGATGTCAAAATCAAGGTTTTCCAGCAAGAGTGCAGAGGCTACCAACATCAAGTAACAGAGATTGCTTCCATGGGATTGCACCCATGAGCCCAGTCACAGAGCCCCTTGCCCTGGGGCTGGAGAGCCAGGTCTCAGTGCCATCGCTGAAATGAAGGTGTATTTTGATTACTAATGATATAGATATGCAAGGACAAAAGTGTCATCACCCTGAGTTGATGTTAACAGAATGCCAGTTTAGTTCACATTAAGTTACAAATTGAGAACATAAAAATACCTTTATTTTATTTCAAAGTAAGTCATTCTGTATCTTGGTTGTGATGCCATTACAACATCTGAGGTGTGGAACAGTCGTGCAGGCATTAGTCAGCCCTGGTCCTTCAAATCAGGATTGTATATATTTGTTTCAACTATTTTGACCAAAAAGTTTAATAAATTTTAAATGATTAACTGGATTTTCAGTGTTTGAACAACTTTTTCCATTTTTAAAACATATTTCCCACTAAATAGGAAACCAGCCTTTGACGCCTGGGGACAGGCCGAGGTGAGTGCAAGTCCATGCTGCATAGCTGCGTGCTCCTCGCAGGGTCACGGGTCCCCCAGACCAAGTGAGTGCCCTGGCTGGCAGGTTGCCTTCACTGCCGTGCCAGCATCAGAGGTCCCCTTTGTGGCAGTTACAAACACTGGCCAAAGGGATTCACTTCTGAGAGAGTGCTTTGTAGAGGCAGGTAGAAAATCTTACCTCTCCCTCTTGCACATTGGATTCCACTAGACCCTTTCTCCATTCCAGTGACTGAGAATCCTAAGGCTTAAATTGATATTTTGTTTATGTTCAAACTTACAAAGTCTTGTCATTTTTCTTTTCTAAACCTTTTTGTTTTGTTTAAAGTTAGATATCTGTTCCTGAAAGTGAATTCTGTGTATCTCTTATACATGAGATTTGATACTAGTCTCTGGCCTGAGACTCTGGATTAGGTGAATAAAAAGTCAAAAATTCAAAAAGGGCTGGAGAAGTAGCTCAGTGATAAAATGGGTGTTCTACCATGCAGGTACACTTCAAAACCTAAATGTACTTTTTTTTCTTTTGGTACCGGGGATTGAACTCGGAGGCACTCAACCACTGAGCCACATCCCCAGCCCTATTGTACTTTATTTAGAGACAGGGTTTCACTGAGTTGCTTAGGGCTTCAGTTGCTGAGGCTGGCTTTGAATTTGAGATCCTCCTTCCTCAGCTTCCCAAGCCGCTGGGATTACAGGCGTGCACCTCTGTAATCCCAGAAAAACAGAGCTTCTGCAAACCGGTAGTGCTGTTAGGAACCTGTGGGTATTTGTGAGCTGAGGGATAGTGCGGATGCTATCTAGGGACTCCCTGATCTTCCTGTGAGGCACTTTAAATCGCAGCCTGCCAACACCAGGAGCTCTCTAGAGGGGAGCCCGTCAGTGCCTACCAGCCGCCAGCCCAGGGCTGTCCCACTGCTCCTCCCAGGAGGGTCTGTGTAAAGGGGATGAGACGGGCATAGGGATGGGCCCTTAACTCTGTCCTTTTAAACAGGCTGTGTCTCCCTGGACCAGTGCCCTTGGCACCAGCAAGGGAGTGACAGAGAATGCCAGCCAGTAGGAGTCCACACTGCAAGGCCYTGGGACGGTGTCCTGTGCTGTAGGTGGGGGAATACTAAGTGCCTGTTGTCTGCAGGTGATACTCTGTGCTCAGCCCTGGTCTGAGACAAGGCTTTACCCAGGACTGGACTGTTGAGTAGGGATGGGTCACATTTTCAGTGTTATCTGTCCCACAGGCACCATGCCCAGAAAGCTGGGCAGTCAGAAGTTCTCTGTGAGCTGCTGACCAGTCCCTGAACACTGCAGATGGAGAATGCTGCCCAGGAGCCACATGCCGGCCTTGCGCCTGCCTGCCTGCCCTGCACAGGGCACACGTCTCGCTCGCAGCTGCCTGGTGCAGCTGAGCTAAGCAGCAGGCCAGTGGCTTTCATTGTTTAGGTGCTAGGAGCCACAGCAAAAATATTGATACAGGCACCTTTGGATTTAGTGACTGCCAACCAGCCATTCAGATTATGATTATGTTAAGTTACATTATGGTAATTGTCTCCTGCTGTTTACCTGGGCCCGTTTCGGGACTCAGGTTACTCATGTCACTCTTGTAATGGGAGAGTTCCCATTGGTTGGGAAAGGATGGTAGGAGGGTGTTCCGGGGGAAGTGGAGYSCCCCCGGCTCAGGTAGAACACACGTGGTGGACCCACTKGTTAGGGGACGCACACGGCCTCTCACTAAATAAAACTTTGTCTCAGTTTGACTGGCTTGTGTTTTTGTGCCCAACCGGGTTGCAAGATTGCAAGCCAGCGTGCACTGACAGCCCAGCAGGGAAGCGCTCAGCAGGGGTGCGGCAGGCAGTGCTCGGCGGCAGCAGCGGAGCTCAGCTAGCCCGCTCGGCCCTGCGGCATTTAGGGGTGTGCCAGGTGTTGACCTCCACCCTCTACAGGGCATCGTGGCCTGGGCCAGAGGGCTCATGGCTATGGACGACAGCCCCTTCTGGGCACAGGCTCAGGACAAGTGCTTTGATCCTGGCTGTGGGTTGCAGAACAAGCCGCCTACACATGTGCCCCTGCTGCAGGGCTCAGGTTGAACTCCATGCACTTGTGCCCATATGCTGCTCTGTAGAGTGCCGGTGGTTGTGTGGGCCTGCAGGCCGTGGAACTTGACCTTGACCTTTTAGGAACCATGATACCCCTGGAACTGGGCAGGGAAAAAGCCAGCTGAAGGGTGGGCAGAGGTTGGTGCCATCTGCCTTCATGTATAGCCAAGTACACTGCTGGGGCCCCATCTGTCCAAGGCGCCCAGTGGTGCTGTCACACCAGGCAGGGCACACACAGGACAAAAACCTGCACTTAGACTTCCTTTTTGGTTTTGAGTTATCATAATGCTGATGACTCCTGCTTAAAGTGCTCTGCCTCGAACCCCACAGGCATGTCCTCAGTAAACACCTGTGTCCTCAGAGGACCAGCGAGCGGGAAGACCTGGGAGCAGCAGCAAGATAGCAAGATGGCCAAAGGCCTGGCTCCGCCATCCAGTGTCCTGTACAATGATCTTGTGCAAGTCCCTTCAGTTAGAACATTTTAATGATTTTTAAAAATACAATGGAAACCAGACCCTCGAAATTGGACTAGGAGTGTGGCTGTCGGATGGTCCATACTGCATCAGACAGGGTTCCCAGCAAGTGGGAAGCAGACCCCCGCCTGGAGTGTGGTGGACAAGCACCTGGAGAGGTAGAGTCTTGGCACACAGGAGTGGTAGGAAAGCTTCACACTTTCCAACCCCACGCTGTTTCACGGCACCAAGTCAGAGACCTGCGATTTCTTTGCTAATGACAATCTACAGTGGGTGAGTGAGGGGCACCCTTTATTTTCATTTCTCATCTGGCTGTTAGAAAACTCCTGTGATCAAGTTTTGATTTTGCAGATGCCACAGCATGAAGCTTTGTAGCATCCTTGAGATGTGTCACTGATGTCTCTAGAAGATACTGGCCCTTGCACATCTGACTGGCACCCCGAGTCATGAAGGGACTGATCATAATGCTGACGTAGCATGAAGTACCTCCTGGCACCTGTGGCTGGAGGGCTGGTAGCCAAGACCCAGAGGTTCCAATTGGATGCCATTTACTTGGAGTAGCCACTTATGTGACATTAAATCTCATCATCCAAGTGCTACTTGGTTTTGATTACAGATCAGTGGCCTTAAGCGATTCACTTGTTTGCCTCTGGAGTTAACTGTTAGCAGGTTACTTGGGAGAGCTGGGGGTGTAGGTCAAGGGTAGAGCACTTGCCCACCTTCCACTTGCATGGCAGTACCAGAAAGAAGAAAATTTGGAAAGAGTGGGACACCTTTTTTAAATGAGTCTGTGCTATAAGAATAGGAAACAATTAATTCCTAGGGAAATTTGTTCTACAAAATCTAAATATCCAACACAGTGTAACTCTGGTTCTTAGGAATATACTTTCTTAAAACCAAACAAGGGGCCCACACGTCWTTCCAGCAGCTCAGGAGACAGAGGTTGCAAGTCCAAAACCACAGCTTAACAAGACCCTGTCTCAAAAAACAAAGGGCTGAGATGCAGCTCAGTGGTAGGGAGCCCCTGAGTTCAAACCCCAGTATCAAAAAGAAAAATAATTTTTTCTTAAGTTTTGAGCTGGTAACTTGTAGATATCAAAAAACCTCTAAAAAGATGATGGCAATGTCTTGCTTGTGCCTCTGACCCTCGTGGGTGGGCTGTCCC